GTGACACGGGTGTGGGAGGTTGACTGCTGGTCTCGGCTCTCTATTTGACCCAAGGGGAGAGGTCAAAAAAAAAAATGGAAAACTGAATCGAGTAAGGCTCGGGTAGCTGTCTTGAAATGGAGTGTTGGATCTCTCAAGGAATTGGGAAATCGGCCGAATCATTCATTGAAATCATCAAAGGTGTAATGGAAGCGGTATCGTCAGAAACTGTTGAAGTTGACACCACACGTAATGTCCGCTTCCCAGAGTATTAAGTCTCACTACAGGTATGTTAATTTGTATTGGCCAATATAAATTCCCTACCGAAACGGAGGCGTTAGGATATGACGCCAAATCTTAATTTGACGAGTTACCTGGAATTCTCCTTTATACTTTTTAATATAATTTTTGTTTATATAAAATTACCCAAGCAAATTACTACTACTACTATGATTACTATTACTACGACTACTACTATGATTACTATTACTACGACTACTACTGTTACTACTATTACTACGACTACTACTGTTACTACTATTACTACGACTACTACTGTTACTACTATTACTACGACTACTACTGTTACTACTATTACTACGACTACTACTGTTACTACTATTACTACGACTACTACTGTTACTACTATTACTACGACTACTACTGTTACTACTATTACTACGACTACTACTGTTACTACTATTACTACGACTACTACTGTTACTACTATTACTACGACTACTACTGTTACTACTATTACTACGACTACTACTGTTACTACTATTACTACGACTACTACTGTTACTACTATTACTACGACTACTACTGTTACTACTATTACTACGACTACTACTGTTACTACTATTACTACGACTACTACTGTTACTACTATTACTACGACTACTACTGTTACTACTATTACTACGACTACTACTGTTACTACTATTACTACGACTACTACTGTTACTACTATTACTACGACTACTACTGTTACTACTATTACTACGACTACTACTGTTACTACGACTACTACTGTTACTACGACTACTACTGTTACTACGACTACTGTTACTACGACTACTACTGTTACTACTGTTACTACTACTGTTATTACTATTACTACGACTACTACTGTTATTACTACTACTACTACTACTAGCACTGCTGCTACTACAAACAATAATGCTTCTGGTACTAGTATACCACTGCTATTACTGGTAGAAACGTTGATACAACAGTGTACTATCAGCAGCGTAATTTATTAAAGATTTCCTGTCTCCTGTCATGTCTAAACTTAGGTCGAGATAGTTACTAAGATAGTTACTAAGATAGTTACTAAGATAGTTACTAAGATAGTTACTAAGATAGTTACTAAGATAGTTACTAAGATAGTTACTAAGATAGTTACTAAGATAGTTACTAAGATAGTTACTAAGATAGTTACTAAGATAGTTACTAAGATAGTTACTAAGATAGTTACTAAGATAGTTACTAAGATAGCTACTAAGATAGCTACTAAGATAGCTACTAAGATAGCTACTAAGATAGTTACTAAGATAGTTACTAAGATAGTTACTAAGATAGTTACTAAGATAGTTACTAAGATAGTTACTAAGATAGTTACTAAGATAGTTACTAAGATAGTTACTAAGATAGTTACTAAGATAGTTACTAAGATAGTTACTAAGATAGTCACGGAACTGACACATTACTGAGAGATTTACTTGTATCAGAAGTCTGTGTGTTCAGACAAGTTATTTTTTCGATCATTCATTTCTCTAAAAAGTAATAAAATAGAATTTTTGGTAATGGTTTTGAGGCTTCACAGATGTCATGGGAACAAAAATAAAATTGTGTACATCATATTATCTATATGTACATACACACACACACACACACACACACACACACACACACACACACACACACACACACACACACATCGCCATTACCACCATTACCACCAGTCGCTTAAATAAAGCTTTAACACCTCCAGCGTCGTCGTTATACGTCTTTACGTCCATTAACTTTCTCCTCTTATATGTCGTATATGTTCACGTTGAAAGCAAACTCTCTAATCGTTATATATTAATAGCTCTCACTTTCTCACAGACATGTGCTAAAGCTCTCTCTGTTTCTCATTACTCGCATCATAACTCACATTCTCACAAACATCCCAAAGAAAACGGTATATTTACCAGGAAAGATGTGGTTGGGTACACTATATTTTCCGAGATTATGAGAAGGCGTTCGTCATGACCCGTCAGACGTACTAAGGAAAGAGCTTAATGGAACACTGGAAAATCTGGAAACATTTGTTCGGTTTCCTGACGAACCTTACCTAACCTAACTAGAAAATCTGGAGAATGAAAGGTACGACCTGCCAAGTATGGGCCGACAGGCCTACTGCAGTGTTCCTCATTGTGTTATGTTCTTACTTACTGGTGTGAGATGAGGTTAAGTTCCCAGACAGTCAGAACCTTCCAGAGAAGATCGAAGCCTATATATTGCTGTGTACCAGTGAATTAAAATAAAAACTATGAATTATAATAAGTGGATAAGGTGTTTAGAGGCTTTAAGATAACTTGAATAATTTGTAAAAATGCTCATAAAAGCGGCTATTTGACTTCGATTTTGTTAAACGCTAATTAATGAGGCTAGGAAACAGAATACAGGAAACAAAATTCTCGTAGCGAGGCGATACATATACGGCACTAGGAGAAGGATCAGGGTTAGGTAAGGTTCGTCAGGAAACAGGACAAGTGTTTCCTGACGCGGGTTTTAGATGATGGCCCGCCATTGGAGCTTTTGGTCATCTGATAAAGGCCTTCCGCTGGCTTGCCGGTCCGCCCCTTTAAAAATTTTGATATTAGGGATCAGGGAAAGCGCACCGCGCTGCACATGTCACTTCACAACAAATTAACAGTAGAATTTATTAGACATAGCTAATGTGGAAAATGCTGTATACATTTTCCGGAAATACGGTAATTTATAGGTAAATATATGCCCTATATTGTATTTTTAAAAAGTATGTTATCGAAAATGGGAAACCTGCGGCTGGGGAGGTCAGTCGCCATTTTGGTTTGAATGAGCCAAGTAAACGTTAGTGTAATGGGAAGAATTTTCGTGCTCTTGAGGTTAAAATTGGGCTGACACCTCTCAAATAGGAGGCGAAATTGTTGGATGTGCAGTCCTGCATAACTTGAGATATCAGGCGACTGGACAAGACAGCTCATATTGTTTCATACTATGGAACAATTCTCTTCTCCAGACTGAGGGACTGACCACCTCAAAACTTTAAGGGTGATGGACTGATTACATCGTCTTCAAGTATCTTCTGCTTCTATCAACTTTTCTGTACTTGACTGAAGAAGACTACTGTGTAGGCGAAACGTTTCATAATAAAGATACCTAACTGTTGCATATGTGTCTTACCTAACAAGACAGCTCCAGGAACCTCATATAAGTCTGTTATGTTATAACTCTGGCCAGTTGTTATTTTCATGTATAGACAGTGAGGTTTTCTGAGTATGATACACATTAATCTCCAGTCAAATTGGCGAGTGTTATGATTAAGATATATTCTCCTTCTGTTATATAAATGTGTGTATATACTATAATCCTTTTTTAATTTTAATATACAGTCCACAAATTTATATATTTACCAGCATTCCTGCTGATGTATATTTCATTTAATAGGTCCAGAGCAACTTGTGGATATGACAGTGGTAGGTATCGAAGGGGGACATTTTTTGCGACCTATGTGTCCCAAATTCCTACTTATCTAACTGATAAATAATAATTATCTATGTTCATTTACTGTTATGTAAATAATGATACATCCAAGTAAATGAAATTTTCCACAGCTAAGCTTAGTTAATCTAAAAATTACCTTCAGATACCTTAGCAAGAAACTACTTTGGTCTTTAAACACGACATATATCAGGCCCATGTTAAAGTAGGTGGCACCAGCATGGAACCCGAAAATAATCAAGCATGTGAAGGAACCCGAGAAGAACCAAAGATTCAAAACAAAACTGGACACTAGAAGAGATAAGATCTGCGAATCGCACGACCAATACCTGTAAACACAACGTAAAACTTTTCTTCAAGAGTAAGTATGAAAAGATATTGGAATCAGGTAAGTAGATAAGATTCGTTAGGAAACAGGACTAGTGTTTCCTCTTGCGGGTCTTAGATGACCCGCCGTTTGGGCTTCTGGTCATCTGACCAGAGGCTTTCCGCTGGCTTACCGGTCCACTCCTTTGAAAAACATGGTCCTGGTTATAACCATTTAGTATGTACTGGAAGCCAGGAATCAATAAGGAAGTAGTGAGTCTGTGTCCCCGAGGCAGAAGCCAAGACTCAACCATAACTATATTAATACACTTTTATCCTGTCCAGCCACCCATCCCTTTTTCTGTTTAATCTTTGTTACCTTTTGAAAGAATTCCATTAGTTTTCTGCGGGGTGGGGGAGATATGACTTTCCCTTTAAAATATGGACGAATAAAATCTCTTAGGAGGCTAAAATTACGCTCAGTTTTCAAGCTTTTTCCATAGTTTGCGATTATTTATTAATAAACATAGAGTGCGTTAGCATACTGCCCAAGAACCTACCACACTATTTCTTGATTTAAGCAGCTGCGTACAGCAAAGTGAATCTCTCAGACACAGGTCTACACCTCTCAGTGAGGTATTTACACTAAAATATTTATAAATATAGCCTAGTATCGACACTTTCAGATGTCGAGACCACGGTTGGAGCCCCCTCCCCCCCCCGTACACCTCTCTCTATTCACTGAAAATCGTTCATTATGACTTGAATTGTTCATGTATAAGGTGGGTTAAACTATATAAACTGAAAAATGTCCATAACATTTTTATTTACAGTTGTACAAAAATAATTTGTATACATGGCATAATCAATGACAAATTACTATAAAATTTCATAATTTGCTTCAAATAAAAAAAAAACTTTTCCAGTTTTCTGAATAAGTTAATATAGGTGGGATGATCGACACCATGCCTAACCCTTCTAGGGTAGGGTAGGTGCCTGAGTCCGAGCCTTTAGCTCATAAGACTGTCATTTCCATTAGCCCCCTTGTGGCGGGGATGGCAGACCAGAGAGGCCTAGCTTGTGGCTAGGCCTGGGGACAGTTGGTCCCAAAGATGAGGAGGTACTTGTGCCTCCTCCCATGGGAGACTTAGGTCTCAGACACTCCCTAAAGAGGGAGCCAAGGCCGGGCCACCACTTGGAAAAGGCCCGGGCCGGGAGAATACCGGCG